TGTTGGTGTCTTTTGCGGTCTGCCCTCTTCTTGTTTATTTCTGCTTGCTCTCTGTTGGCTTTAAGACGATTGATAAACAGCACACAATCCTTCTTCATACCTTGCATTAGACATTCACCATCATAGTATTCTTCTTTCAGATTTCTGAAAAAATTCACGACGTCCCATCTAACTGCCACTGTTCCAAGTTCAGACAAATTGTCAGCGTCTTCACATTTCTTTATTCATGAGTTACGGCCCTCGAGACTTGTTATTTTCCTTGTTGTGGAATTCCACAACATAAAATAGTGCCATTGTGATTTCTGTCACAGAGACTGCAAGAACCGCTCATTTGAGTATAATCGTCGAGTTGATGTGGGAGTAGATGTATTCGTTAAAATATTTTTACTCATAAACTTTAAGCTATAAAGGAGCCATGGAAAGGTCACCTGAATATTTTTTTACTTTGGACACAGTTGTTGGAGAAGGTATGCCCAAAATAAAAGACAGTAATGACCGTGTGGAGGAAACAGGGAAGCAAGCAATTGAAACAGGTTCTTGTGATAACTGTGGACAGCGTTCCTCGTTTAAGCAGAGCTGAACAAGAAAACCATCAACGCAGCTTAACTGCTATTACAGAAAGACGACAAAGGAGGAAAAGAGAAAATATGTGCCATACAGTGAACAAGGGAGTCCATCGTGGCATCTGAAGAGATACTACACGCGAGGAAGGGCTTTAGAGAAAACCACAGAAACCGCAGCAGATCTCATAAGTACACGCTGTGCATATGTTGATGTGGGCGATGGTCAAGGCTACGACATTTGATTAGATGTTAAAAGGGAATGCATTGATCAGACCAGTGAATCGGGGGAAGCTGAGCCCTTGCAGTAATGGTCAGAAGAATGATTGTTTCATTCGTCCTGAAACACAATTTGAGAAAAAATGCCCGGCAAGACCTTCTTCACGTTATTGCAATACTACTTGGCAACTGTTGTGGACAAGTGTTGAAATCAGTTTACGACATGAAAGTTTTTCTTAAAAACTACTTTAGATGTTGAACCCACAGCAATACGATACTGTGGCAGCTGCTTAAACCTGTCAAATCATGGCAACTGTAAAATGCTGCACTGTTCGGGCAAAGGAGTTAACACATTCTTAAAGGAATTTTTCAAGGACTCTGAATTCAGAAAATTCATTAGAAAAGAAGAAGAACAAATGAAAAATTATCTGGGCCGGAAAATACCTGACATTTATCCTGGACTGGATTATTTCAACTTTCCTTTGCCAGGTGGATTTTTGACTCGAACGTTTAACATTTCATTTGCTGTTAATACTGATGGCCTGTATATATTATGATTAATGAACTTCCTAAGGAATACTGCTTCAAAAGAAATACATCATACCAGCATGTATATACTGTGACAAACATGATCCAAATATGGTAACATTAACATCCCTTAATGGATAAACTAAGCGCTCTTCATGAAAAGGGAATAGACATTTAAGAATAAAGCTAAAGGTCATATCAATGTTCGATGTCTCCCTTTTGTTGTCACAGCAGATCTGGCAGCACATGCTGACCTCATGAATATGAAGCGCTTCAATGCAAAATGCGCCTGTGATCTTTGCAAAAATGAGCGAAAAGGATATTGACTTACTAATCTACACCATTGTATATGTAAGAAAATTTTTTTGTCTTATATATGTAAGAAAATTTCAAAATCTATTGGCGTCATGTTTAGGTCTCGTTTCTTTCTTTCTGAAACAACAAAAAAGTCTCTTTATTATACCTTAATTTATCCTTATTTAACATATTGTACCACAGTTTGGTCCTCCACTTATGTAACAAACCTTAATAGAATTTTTCTTCTACAAAAGCGAGCAGTACGAATTATTACAAATGCAGATTTTTCGCGCACTCTGAACCATTATTTTTCCGTTTAAAGATTTTGGACATATACAACATTAATTCATTCTATACTGCACAATTTATGTTTTCATATTATCATCAATTACTGCCACCGCTTTTTTTTCGAACCTTTTTGTTACTAGTAGCAATATTCATAATTATAATACTAGAAGTTCCTCGCATTTCCGTTCTCATGCCTGCCGAACTAACACCAAACAATTTTCTATTTTGTTCCAAGGCCCTAAAATTTGGAATTCTTTACCAAACTCAGTCACTTCGATTTTTACATTGCAATCGTTTAAAACGAAAGTTTTTGATTTTCTACTATATCGATAATGCGTCTTGTACTGTCCGTTGTTGTGTGTTGTTATAGTTCTATTGCTTAATATTATTGTAACGAGGGGGCCTCCTCGTACAAGCCTTGTGGTTTTCTGAGGTCCCCTCGCCACATCTTTGTATAATGTAATGCTTGTGTAATCTTTATTGTGGGAAAATAATAAATAAATAAATAAATAAATTGCTGGCCATTCCAAGAAAACGAACAGCAACATCATAAAGATCAATTGTCCTACGCCGCTACTGCCTCACAAAAAAAGGCAGTCATGGGTGTTAAAGGTCACTTAGTTTTCTCTAAGCTCAATTATCCCTTTGATCTAATGTTTTCTTTTGCTGTTGACTGGATGCATTGTGTTTCGCTGGGATATGTCAAGTACGTGATGACACTCTTGACACAAGACAAAACCAGATCATATTTCATTGGAGCTGCTAGTAGGATGAAAATTCTTCCCGATAGGCTGCTTGCCATCAAGCCTCCTGATATCGTGGGTAGATATCCACGTGCACTAAATTAACACACTGGAAAACTACTGAACTGAAAAACTGGTTATTACACTATTCCTTATAGTAATGCATTCTACCTTATAGCCTTTGTATCTATTGCACTGGTCCCTTCTCCTGGGGGCAGTGAGGTGACATCCGATTTTATTGGTCCGAATGACGTAAAAGAGGCTGACGCAGTGTTGCAAGATTTTGTTCTCCTAAAGGCTACGTTGTATGTACCATGAACATTCACATTCTACAGTACTTGGCCAGTTATGTTGCCAGATGCGGTCCCCTCTGGGCTTATAGTTGTTTAGTGTTTAAAAATATGAATGCTTGTGTGAAGCGCCTTGTCCATGGAACTCACCATCCTAAAGAACAAATGGGATGTACCCTGGGCCTTTGTTATGCGATGACAGAGTTTATTAAGCAAAGTCTTAAAGAAAAGACATTGCCTAAAGAGGCATATACTGTGTTACAAAGACTAGAGGAAAAAGTCAGGCATCCCTAAAAATTGCAGAAGGATGTTTTTCTCAGAAAAATGCAGCAAAAGCACCCGATGTGGACAACATTCTTACCATGGCACGAGTTTATTTCATTGTTAACAACTGCCAAGAAGGTTATGGTAACAAAAACCTTGTGATATTTTACATATCTGAAAAACAATATGGGCAGAGATTTAGCTCTATTATGTATGAACGGCAAGAAAGACGGACTGTTCTGTCAGTGAGTATACTAATCAAGGTGGATATATTTCTTCTGCTCGAATCCATTGCTTCTTGAGATTTAACTAAGATAACCTTTGTGCTTGCTACGAATTTAGGCCGGTAGAGAACAGCAACTCTCTCTTCATATTTAATGACATACCTGTTCCTGATGATGTTGTTATGACAGGTACAAAAAGAATTGTTATGACAAGGGTCACTGACAAGTATGTTCAAAAGGAAATTGTCAAACATCAAATAGTTGTGGAACTGTGAGTGCTATCTATGGGAGGCCATATCATTCAAAAGTGGTACGAATGCTCGATTGATGATCAAGATCACGATCGCTATGATTGAGTTTCTCGATCGGTGGTTGAGAATGAAGATCTTAGTGGTTGAGATTATCGATTGATTAATGACAACCACGATCACTATTATCTAAACAGGGTTTGTATACTAGAAACACAATCCCTGTCGGGAAAGAAAGATCGGTAATGAACTCTGAAGAACTAAAGGACTGGATGGAAGAAGTGTCGATTGGGGATCCAGAATGTCAAATGCAACGATTGAAATTATCGCTTTTGGGGGTGACAATCAAAGAGAACTGGAAACAAGTGGGGATAAATCATGTTCTTTAGATCAAGTAGAATGTAAAGAGGGATTGAAAGTGAGCTGAGATGATGGCCACCGACGGACATACTGAAGATATTAACAAATTTCTTTCGTCCTTGGGACATTGTTTCGAGGACGCCGATAAGGCTTTAAAAGATGAATGCAATTCTGTCCCTCTGGACTATACAGAAAGCTGACTCGAGGACCACCTTCAAATTGTCAATGCAATTGCAATTGCTATACAATATTACGGTGGTGATGAATTAAAGCAGCTTGTTTCAAACCTACAGACGTTTTCTCAAACCTTGTTGTATAAAATCTATACCACTAAGGTTCAGAGAGATGTCAGTGGTATGTGGGTATGTGTTGGGTATGTCAGTGGTGGTTTGCGAGCTCATGGTATTTTTGTACAAAGACACCAAATAAGAGAAATTCTTACAACGATTGATCCCGTTGGCAGAGCATTGCATAGAAGGGCTGCTATTCGAAGCAGGCAATACAATGTCAGAGCTCCTAATCATATGTGGCACATTGTTGGCAACCATAAACTGGTGAATTGGAGGTTTGTTGTATATGATTGTACAGATGGCTATAACAGGGCAATTGTATACATAAAGTGTGCACTTAACAACTTGGCATCTACAGTCTTACGATATTTTATTGAGGGAACCCCTTTGGATTGCCTCTGCGTGTGAGGGGTGACCATGGAGTCGAAAATGTTGAGGTTGCAAGGTTTATGGTTGAGAGGAGAGGTGTCAATCGAGGTAGTTTTATAGCAGGACGTAGTGTCCACAATGTCAGAATTTAGAGACTTTGGCGGGAGATGAACAGGGTTGTCACTACTTTTGACAACCACATCTTTCATTTCTTGGAAGATTCTTGTTTGCTTAATTCACACAGTGAGTTTGATCTTTTTGCTCTACACTACATCTATTTACCCAAGATCAATGCATCACTTGAGCAGTTTGTTGAGCAGTGGCACTTCCATGAGATACGCACTGCAGGATATCAGTGCCCAAGGGCTTTGTGGCATGCAGGTATTCTGCACAGTATGAATGGTGTAGTAGTTTACGAACCAGAAACTTACGGTATTGCTTTTGAATCTGGTGTTTCAGAGGTTGATGATGATTACAGTGTTGTTGTTCCTGAGAATCAAATCCAGCTAACAGAGTAAGAAATGACCATTATCAGGAGACCGGTTCCTGATCCTTTATATGATGATGGAAACTCTGGTATTGATCTCTATGTTACTGTTTGCAATGTTATCAAGACAATCAGAAACATACCTTTGTGAAACTTTGATAACCTTTTATCTGAAGTTATTACATGTTAAAAAGTCAGCATTGTGAAGAGGAGAGTTCAAGTAATTTCAGGCGTAAACATTCAACATTATAGCTTTGTTTGGAAGCATCCTTTTATGCACAATAATATTATTTTTGTTTTATTTATTATTTTACCACACAAAATGAATTACAAGCAGAATAAAAACGATAATAAATTGGTTAATTAACATTAAATTTAAAATTTGTACATTACTTGGGAGGAGTGACTGTGGCGGAGAAATCTACGAGAAGCCAAGCTTATGAGGAATAGAAATTTCCCCCCACGGGCAATTTAAATACTAGGCAGCATTTTAAGAAATAAAGAAAAAGTCGTTTATTTAAGTATATAAGTGTGTTTAGAGGAAAATATAGATATAAGGTGTTAAGGTATTTAGGTTGCATTCTGTCTGACCCTTAAAAATGGTTATTGCTATTGTTATTGTTTAAAAGCAATAATACAATCACCAAATCAGTAGCAGAGGTAGATCCAGGATTTTTTTGTAGAGGGGTCCAAACTGGAATATCCATCTTTCCTTGCCACACATTTCTTGGTTATAACATGCATAGTTCAAATATATTTTATATTCCTTTCTGCCGTACCATCATAAGAAAGGTTTCTGTTTTTTTATCAAGGTCCTGTTTTCTTTAATAAGCTGAATGTTTTCATTTGTGATGCCCCCCCCTTCAGTATTTGTTCCAATCCAGAGATAAAAACTTTCTTCTTTCCTGTTATTGAATTCTTAACTTAAGCTAGTCTTTGTTTAGTTTTTTGTTACTACATGTATTTTTAATGCACTACTCCGTGAATTTTCATTTTACTTAGTTCTTTGTGACTGGGGAGCCCAGGCTTCATAAGCCTTCTAGTTTCTTCTGGGCTCCCTCGCCAACTTACAATTCTTATATGTATTCTTGCATTGTAATTTACTTTGGCTAAGTAAAGACTGAACTGAACTGAAGTGAGGTGTTAGCAGGGAGAACTGACACGCAATAAACAAACCATAAAGGGATGTGAAAAAAAGGACTTTGAGCTTAAAAATTCAAGACTGTTTGTTTCACAAAAATATTTACTTGAATACAAATTCTTTTGCCATTTAATCTTAACCCCCCTGCCCCTCACCTTATAAAGACACTGTGAAAGTAAAGGACACAAAAAGAGATGAGTGAAAAAAGCATCAGGGTTAACAAGGTTGATTGGTTTATTGTAAGAACATTAACAACACGCTGACTCCATACAGTCTGTAGCTAGGAACAATAACTGAATTTGAAACTTCATTTCTTCTCTTATAGTGGAGAGATCTCAGGGTACTAACCAAAAGGCAAAAATAACTGGCTGGACCTCCAGTAAATTCAATAAAGAAATTAAAATGATAAAAGGTCTCACTGAAAACCTATTACTGATGTTCACACTATTTCGGCTCTTTTAGAAGTCACTGTATACTTAACTGACTGGACAGTGTTAATTCATAGTAAAGATAAACAGCCAAGGCCTATCAGTTGCTATTTATGGAAGGTGCCCAAAGGTTAATATTTGCTTCTAAGGTAAAATTTGAACTGCTAATTAAAAGTAAGATTAACAATAAAGTGGTTGACTTTTTGTAGAGTAGATATACAAAAGTTGACATGTCACCAAGACATTACTAAGTCATAACTTTAGGCTAACTTTTCCAACATCCATAAATAAATGGTGAGGGTTTCTTACCCTTAGCATGAAAGATATGCAATAGTGTATAACCAACAGGGAATTAAATAACAGTAAATCATGTGCAAAACATCTGTTAGTAGTAACAACAAGGACATTTCAGGTACTTTCTTGAAGGTAAGGTATGGCCAAAATTTTTAATATACATGTAGTAGCTTTGCTTGTTGCTTTTATGTTCACAGTACTGCAGGGGCACCCAGCTTTTCTGTAACATATCTGTTAGAAGAAGCAAATACTGTCTATAATTTTCTTTCGCTTGAGGATCGCTAAAAATTCCTAGATGAACGTTCCATTCATGTGCAGTTTTCGGAGCTTATCTAATAAATTCCTTACGATTTTCTTAAGTTCAATTTTACATATTTTACTACCCAGGTCATTCTATTTTTTCTTAGAAAAAAGGAACCTAAAATTTTCTGATTCTAAAATGTGATGGACAGAGGAATCAGAAAAATTCTCACTTTCGTAAAACGTTAAATTGCACCTGAAATTTTCGGAAAAATAATATTGAAGCCCTTGTAATTTCGAAAAGACTCAAGTTCCCCTAGGATGACCTAACAGATACAAATTTTGTAGCACCACTTAGAATGCATTTCTAGAGATCTAAGGCCCGGTTCAAACGTCGACCTTTTCATGAGCCGAACCTAGTAGCCCCAATTAAGTACATGACGAGATCGACGTTCGAATCAATTAAGTTCAACAGATGTTATTTGGGTCGACCCGAGAATTAAGTTCGACATGGCCAGTCGGTCAGTTCGACTATGGAGCGACTCCGATTCAAACGTCGAATTTTTCATGTACCGTACCTAATGCATAAATTATTATTATAATACATTTTTTGATCCCACAACCCCCTTCTGTCGCATGAAGCATGCGCATCAGAGGCAACAGAGGTGAAAAAAGATGGCGGCTTGGCGGAAAAAGGTTACGGTCGTGCCGGACGAAGACATGTGTTATTCGTGTTTTGCCACGACAAAATATTCATGCATAAAATGTGGTCACTCTGTTTGTAACCGTTGCTCGGTGTTTAAAGACGACGAGGGAACCCCTGGCTGGGTAGCCAGAAAGTCCGTGGGATATTGCATCTCTTGTGAGAAGGAAGAAGGAGCCAGTACAAACAACAGACAAGAAGAGAAAGCAAACAGCGGATAAGGAATGAAAACAAAAAGCGGACTAGGAGAGACAAGAAGCAGCGGGCAAAGAGAGAAAACAAGCAGTGGACGAGGAGCGAAAATGGACAACAACGGAGAAGACAAACGTGAGGAGGCCACGAGTTGGTGAGTAGTGTTTTTGACCGTTTATTGATTTGATTAAATTTTATTGATTTGATTAAATTGATGTTTGTACGATGCAATTTAACTTATTACTTTGAAAAAGTGAAGGGCTAAAATAAAAAGTAAAATGAAGGATATTCCAAAAGAGGGGAAAGGGGGTTGGAGTGGACTGGTAACGGATATTAACATAGCCCTGACGTTACCCTGTGTTTCTGTTGATACAAAGCCTGTCATATACCTGGGACTGGGGGATAACTCCCTTATATGGGCTACATAGGCATGTGCGGTCCCAAAGGGTATGGTTTTTCAACAGTTTTGATCATAAATAGGGTATCGATTTTGAACTGGGTATTTTCTTTTAGAAGAAGCTCCTTTTACATCTCTATCGATAAGACCATTAACAAAAGCCCTTCAACTGTCCCAGTGGCAATGGTCATAAATTGGGGATCCAGTTTTTTTTTGTCAGCTCATAAATAGAGTAGGGAAAATCGCAGACTTTTGTCATAAATAGGGTAAGGGTTTTGGGAAGCGTGCTACACACCCCCACCCAATTTTTCTTGGAGTACCCCCCTCACCCTGGGACCTGGCATAACTAATTATTGATCAATGACAAACACTATTTCTTGTTAATAGTGTTGTCTTTGGGGACCTATGTATAAATAAGATTGTTTATCACTGAAATCATGACTAATCATTGTTTTTATTTTGTTGAAATCTTGCATCTAAATGTTATGTTGTAGAGATTGGCACCCACTAAAAAACTGTTTATGGATATGAATATAAGTATAAATTAGAAGAAATGATGTGCCATAGGTTTGTTATATCATTGAGAGAAAAACCTATCTGTTTGATAAGGCCAATAATGACAGTTACTATTGCTAATAGTTTAATAATAATTTTTTGCTTCTTGATCACATAGTGCAGCTCATCAGGAGCCGGAAGACATGTCCTATGAGAGTGATGGCGAAGAAGATGAAAATGGGGATGAGGATGGAGATGGGGAGGACTCTGTTTCTGAGAAAACTGACAAAAAGGCAAAGAAAGCAGGCAGAAAAGCAAAATGGTCTCAGTCCCTGTTAGATGATACTATAGATATCATAATAAGTAGTGATCATTTCAAGAAAAAACTTATATTCACCAATGTTAAAACTCAGAAAAATGGACAGATCTATGCCGAGGTACTTGCTGAACTTAAGAAGAGATGCAAGTCTAGGAATGAAAATGTTTCCTTTACTGTACCACAACTTAGATCAAAATTTAAAAAGCTTGTTGCAGAATGTAAGCATGTAGCTTTGACCACCAAAACTTCCACTGGGGTGAAACGATTCCAAGATGACAAGGGTTACAGTAACTGGTTCAATCAGTTGTTTGAAGGTATCAAAACACGTGACGCTTGCAGACCAGAACTGGCTGTAGAGCCATCAGCATCAAGAGAGGAGGTAACTCAGTCAACAAAAGATGAGGGCAATAGTGAAGCTTCTCAAGACTGTGTTGGTAAGCACTTTGTGCCTGTGAAATCAGCTCCAACCAAGAAACTGAAAAAAGAAGACCCATTGGTTGAAGCTATTCACTTAATGAGGAGTGCAATTGAAAATGACCCCACAAAACAGCTCATCCAATTCTTAAAATCAGATTTGAGAAATCAAGAGAGCATGAGGTCAAACTTTTCCAATTGCTTTTAACACATTCCAACCCTAACCCACAGACACAGTATGGATTAGCTAGTCATCATCAGGGGGGTTATGTTTCCCCAAGTGGCATTAACCAAGGTCTTTCTATGCCTGCCTCAAATTTTGCTCCTCAGTCTGATTACACGTTGTGGGAGGGAAACCACAGGTCATTTCAACCAATATCAGTACCCCCCATGGCACCTTCCCCCTCTTTGTCCACAGATTCAAGTAACCCAAGAGGTTCTCCCATAAGTTTGAGAGAAGGGAATGCAAGCCCCTTTTATCATTCTATGTAATATCTCGCTCAAGGTAATTGTAGTCTATAACATCAACTTAAGTAAGGCTAAAACTTAGAAACAAAGCTGAATTCTGATTGATCTGCATGGGAAATGTAATCAGGACTTTTAAGAGAAACTAAGAGGATTTCTGAAAGGAATGACAAAAATTATGTTGTACTGAATTCTGACTTCCAGCAGCGGAATTTCTATGCTCATAAAGGTTCTTTTGATTCAAACGCTTAACCAAAACTTCAAAATGAACCATGTAACTGCTTATTATTGTTAAAATGAAAAGTGACCAAACAAGTTGTGTAGTTGAAATTAGTATTACTAAGAAATAGATGGGTCTTGTAGTCCAAGGGCCAAGAAAGGAAACGTTATGTCAGTTTTTACAGCTTTACGTTTCCCTGCAGCTGGTAATCACTGTAAGTTTGGTAGTATTGTTGTGTTATAACCTTCAGTTGCATAATAAAATCATTTGACTAAGTCTGGTGATTTGTATTATGGTGATTATTTTTCTCAGATGCAATATCAGAAACAAAAACTCTCATATATTTTGTTATTCATAAAAGAGAGTCTCCTAAACTAACAGGAACCACACAAAACTACAGAAATTTAAACTTCCTACCGAGGCTAGTGCCTTGGTTCACCTTTTTCTATTCATGGCCCTGATTACCAATTCTCTTTGCCCACTTTTAAAAGTGAGAAGGTAAAAATGAAGGTTGTGATACAGGAGGGGTTATCAAGAACTATTTCTTACAACCAATTGTTTAGACAGCTAGAAGTGAAATTTGATTGCCACCCAGTTGTTCATCCAGATCATTTCACATGATAACAAGTCTTCCTACCTACCAAAATTAATAGCTTACATATAATGCAACAAATTTTTTGACAATCCTTGTGCCTCATCTTACATCCTCTGTGATTCCTACATGTCATAACTCAACACACTTCTTTCGTGAAGTGTAATCACTGTTACATCTACAAAGGTAGAAGTACTGTATGATAGACGAATAAACTTAAAACCCAGTTTAGGTCTGTTTACTTGATGATACCAGTTTCTTTCTCTGACCAAAATTTCTCAGCAAGAGCATCTCGAACAAGTAAGCCTTGATAGCTAGTGTCTCTGATCTTTTCACATTCCCTCATTTGAAGCAGTTCCCTTACCTTCGCCCTACTGCGTCCCTGATTGGTGACCGGGTCAATTGTCAAGTCCAATTTTCTTGGCAATGTATCTCCAAGATCAATACAAATGTTGTGAAGTACTAAACATGCAAGGGCTGCTATTTTCAGTTCACTTGTGCTACTTTCACATTTCCTCAGTAGTATGCGCCATCTACCTTTGAGTTGCCCAAAGGCCCCTTCAGTGACCATCCTTGCCCGACTCAGTCTGTAATTAAAGTTGTACTGTTTTGGTGTTGAGACTGCATTTGTGTATGGCTTCATAAGCCAAGAAGATAAAGGAAAAGCAGAATCTCCAAGTACAACTGGAGGTACTTGTACTCCATTGACATCCTTACTTATCTGAGGAATAAAGGTGCCTTCTTTTATATCAGAGTACAGCTTTGTTGATTGAAATATTACAGCGTCATGAGAATTGCCTGGAAAACCACAGGTTCCCCAAACAAATCTGTAGTTGGAGTCCACCATTGCCATTAACACTATTGAATAGAAGTCTTTGAAGTTGTGGTATTCCTTACAAGAAAAATTCCCAGGCGGGCATTTGATAGGTAAAATGGCATCCATCAACTGCAGCCCAACAACAACAAAATTGCCACTGTTCCTCCATATCAACTATCTTCTCCTTAAATTGTTCCTCACTCTTTGGCAGTTGCTGACCAACACATTCGTCCCACAAGTTGTCCACAATTGCGCGTGTGACTTCATTGACGATCGTACACACGGTTGACACCCCCAGTCCTGTCATTTCTGCTATCGTATAATAGTAATCTCCCCTTGATAAACGATACAGAGCAATGGCCAACCTGAATTCTGGGGATATCGGCTCTTCGGTCACAGTATCTCTATCTAGAACATGTCTGATTCGTTGCAGTATAAACTGGAATGTTGTACGTGAGATCCTAAACGTTTTCTTGAATCTTTCATCGGAATACGTGCTCCAAACTAGGTTAAACCATCCCATATTTCTCGGGAGCCTCCTACACGAACGATTGTAGACTGGTGTTGCACTTTTTCGTGACACACTTAACAGCAGACCGATAACACATATATTCATCATAAATTGCCTTCTTGTGATGACAGCATGCAAGAAACTTCGTAGCATTTTTCTCCGTTTCCTCCCCTCCCGGATGGCACGAAAAATAAAAGCTCTTCTTCCCAAATCACCTCGCAAATCACAACCTTCTGGAACCTCCGCCATGTTTGTTTGAGTATTTAACCGCTGACTGACCGCTGGCTATTGTAGAGCTCGTAAATTAAGTACGAAGAATTAAGTTCGACGTTTGAATCAACCGTCGAACCTAATCATTTGGGTTGACCCAAACAGGTATTAAGTTCGGCTCATGAAAAGTTTGACGTTTGAACCGGGCCCAAAAGTACTCTGGATAGCCTAAAAAGTGTTTTCATCGTATTTTGTAGGAAGCCCTCGTTGGGTGCCCCTTATACTTGTCATCTGTGACTACAAGAATCAACAAAATGTTTCCAATCATCAATAATGGAAACAAAAACAAGCCCGTAACCAGGGGGGTGCACGGGGTGCGTTCGCACCACCCGCTCCCACAGGCCCCAAAGGTCCGCATTTTGATACTCAATATCCAAGTTAAGGAGTGCAGAGTGCAGTCGGTTAAACTGAAGTTTCAAACCTAACAGTGATATTTAAACAAAATCAAAGAATGGAAAAGCAGTAGTGTATTCACTGGGAAAAAAAAACCAGCTGCATTCTAGTAGTCCGCGCCATTCAGAACATTTCAATGAGCGCACAGATGTCCGAGCTTATCTAAATGAATAATGAAATTAACATGCGTACACTTTGCACGAGAGTTTACGACGAGCGAGCCAATGACAAGGGAGCGATCTCACGATTTTTGTCAGACACGTCCGCTAACGCGTCGGGTACTGTTCTCTGTACCAGCGCATGAACGCCCGAAGATGCAAAGGAGAGAACAGGAAAACAGAAAGAGGAAGGCTGCAGCTAAATCTTGCCAGTCTCTCGATACATGGGTCAGTAAAGTACCCGTCAAGCGCCATCAGACGCTGACAATGACAGTGCAGTCTGCGATGACAGCCCAGCTAAAACCAAGACTTCAGATCAATCTCAGTTAACTACAGTTTTACAGCGAGATATAGAGGGTAAATCATACTTATTTTCGCAATGTCCACCAGTCTTGATCCCATTATTATGCTCTGAGATTTAGTCGCTATTCCTCGATATCAGGATGAGGTGGTAAATCTGTTTCCCACCAAACACCCACGGAGGCTGGAGCTCGGGACTATTCTGAGGGATTAGTTCCACAGTATTTTGATGTATCATTTTACATCGTAAAATTGCTCCTTGATAACTTATTTCAAACAGTTGTTTTCGTCAAATGTAATATTCAGTTCCTACCATGTACTTTGAGGTTACAATCTCTCATGTATTGCTATTTTCCTAAATAAACGAATCAGACAATAAAAAATACATTTCGGTACTTTGGTCCACTTTGGCCTCGTTGGCCCCCCCCCCCCCCCTCCACGTAAAATCCTGGTTACGGGCCTGAAAAACTACTGCAACTGCAACTGCAACAACCGCGACCTTAAACTATGCGAGGTTAAAATTAAATAATATTACATGACCAGGAATCCTTGGCATTGAGAAGTGCTGTGAATTCCTCTACAAGTTCATTATAATACTGGTAAGTTGACGGTAACTCTAGTGATGGTCCACAGGTGTGGACAATAGGCCGACGAGATTTGCCTTCTACAGTTGTAAAAGTAACAGTAATTGTTTTACACAAAATAATACTAGTACGTGTCAGAAACTGTAAAAGGTCCCCAAGATCACTGCCATTAAGGCTCTGCACCAACCTTTTAAAATCCTCTTAACTGTTTTGTTCAGCCTCTGGTGTAGGATTTGTTGACAGTAAATTAATTACACTTTTGGCAGTAGGCTTCTTTTCATTGTAAAGTTTTTGCACATCCCCCATAGTTTGGAATGGTGTGTAGACCCTCATTCTATTCATTATTGGAGCAAGACAATCCACAATATATAGAGGCTTCTGTACCAATTCTTGATGAGTAAGCTCATGTACTATGTTGAAAATGTTGGTTTTGGTAGGACTTTTGTAACACTTGAAATAATTTAGCAAATCTAGCAGATCTTCATCTTTGGGGTCAAAGTCATTTCCAAGAGCCTTTTCTAAAACTTTACTCTCATCTTGAGACATGTATGACTCAAAAGATTCAATTAAAAACTCAGGTGTTGAAGTTTCCTGCCCAAAAAACACATTTGCAACAAAAGCTGGGGACAGGGCAATGGGGAAATACTTAGCAAATGAATAACCATAGACAATTATTCTGCCAATTGCTTCCCACTCCCCTTTCTGGTAACCATGCCTAACACTAGGAACTTTTCCTAATGCACCAACAGTCAAACTACTGAAACATTCATAGCAAAAGGTTCTTAATACCCCTATAAGTACCCCTGACTCTTGCCCTTCCTCTTCTACTCCAGTGGGTTCAATTATAGTAAAATCAACTTCATATTGCAGTATACTTGGATCTCTGAATATATCAATCATTTCACCCTTTAGAAGAGCAGTTACAGTGAACAGTCACAGGCTTTAAAGGTCTTTCTCCATGAGATATCTCTTGACTTGCAAAAAGTGGCAAAGCTGTGGAACAATAACAGACAGAACTTGGGGCTCGTGTCATAAAAAGCGTAATATAACAGGTATGGTGAAAACCTTTCTGATGTATCACCAGCATCAAAATTTCACAAAAATTTTAAAGGGAAATGTTTTTGTCAGGGCATTCCCAAAAATGAGGGGTTACAAAAATGTGGTATTTTACAGTATGCTATTTTTTCAAACCCCGATGAGTTTCTGATTTTATACCTTCAATATCATTATGATCAATAAAGGATGACAACTCCAGATCATTTCTGCATTTCGGCATCTGGTCAACTACACTTGTACTCGGGCTTTCTGTGAATAAATAAAGGCATCAAAACAAAATTTTCAGTAGTTTTCAAAGTTTTGTTTTGTTTTTGAAGTTGCATATTGTGGTGTTAGAGCACAGTGCTAATAGGCAGCATCTATTCTCTTTATTTCCCAAGACAATATTCAGTAAATATTATATTTTACCTTCATGAGCAGCATCCAACATCTGTGGAAGATCCTCTTCAGTCTCTTCAACAATGATCTTCTAAAAAATTTCAAAAAGAAAAATGCAATCTATGAATCAACAAACAGCCCTCTCAAGCTGGCAGGCAAGTAATGCACACATTGTCTTGGGCTTGCATTAGTGGTTGGCTGGTTTACATTAACTGGACGGCATATTTTATTCACGACATTATACAGGTAAACTAGTCCCGAGGGTGTTAAAATGTAGATAACATATCAATCCACATGAGACGTTTACCTTTGGACTCTGAGGTACAGGGTCATTCTAAGGATCTCTTCCTGCTGAAACTGCTGACGTGACATATTTGTTCTAATGGTGTGATGTATATAGGCTTTTCCTTAAATATTCTGTGCACCATTACGCCGTTACTTGACCAGCAGCAAGAGTCAGTTTCACCAAGGTACTGTGGACGGGCGTGAGAATCTCGAAATCTACACCATCTGGAATTTTCCCTTCAAATGCTTCTTTCACGCAAGCCTCAACCACACACTCTGACCACTCTTTGCAACTGAAAACCAGAAATCACATGGCCGTTCTCCATTAACCACACTCTCTTCCCCGGCCTTGGGATTCTGTTAATATCTGGATTAGTTAGCAATATCATACCTCTAATGAAAGGCCCTTTAACGACCGATTTCCCTTTTCCTTTACCGCGAAATCGGTTGTGTCCAGAAGTGGTACATTGCCTTCGAAAGTTCGGCATGTAGGAGCAGCTGAAAGAGCTAGATCTTCCAGAGGAACCGACTCGATTAAGTGGATTAGGGCTTGTTTTCTTGGTAACTTCACTGCCAAGGATCGTAGAGAGTTCACATGCTTTCGGTTGAAGTTATTCTAGTATTTTTTCCCCCTTTTCAGACGAGTTCCAGCTGGATGCCATCTTTTTCGGAAAATTGGAGCGAAATCTCGGGCGCAAGGATACCTTCTACTTGATGTAAGGAACATGATTTAACCCCACTTGTTTCCAGCTCTCTTTGATTGTCACCGCCAAAATCGTTCTGGATCCCCAATCGACACTTCTTCTTTCCAGTCCTTTAGATCTTCAGAGCTCGTTACCGATCTTTCTCTCGACCACAGCGATTGTGTTTCTAGTATACAAACCCTGGACCTATGAGAGAATTTTTTCCTTTGATTCTGCATCACTTGCACAGTTCACAGTTGTTTTGTGGACTTGAGAACCATGGGCTCCTGTCTTATCAGTCTACATGCATACAAGATGATACATGGGGGGGCCTGCCCTACAATTTCTTTCGCCCTTGATGTTTGACGCTCTTGTTAATGACATTTCCAAAGTAGTTGTTTCTGTACAAGACGTGTACGATGCTGAGCTGCAGTCGTCCTTTCTTGCACTTGTGAATGCTGGTACTTAAGAGGAGGCTCTAACCCTTGAACGAAGGTAACCTACCGTAAATTCTTGACCTTGCTGGAACTCTGCAACCAGTGAGATCACTGGATGACAGTCCCAATATTGTTGCTTCAACCTCTCATAGGTTTGTGCTAGGACGAGCCCATTTAGCCCTGGAGGGGTTTCAGGAGGGACAGTCGGCGCATGGAGTGTTAGCAGCCATGAAAGAATTTCCAGATACCTTTCGTCTGTTGTTTTGCTATACTCTTGAAGTGGTTACTACTGCAGAAAGTTTGGAAGGGTTGTTCACAGTTAAGACAAGTCCTGTTGGGTCAACCAAAGCAGTTACTGAAAGCCTTGTGCTCTCGCGTTGGAGTGACTATTTGCAAGATATAGAAGACAGCCAGGATTCCATTAATCTAACCGACATCCTGTTCTTTGCCACGGGGTGCAGAACCTTACGACCCTGTAAGATATCCCCTACCATCGAATTCTTACACGAGCCAGGAAAATTTGGGCACTCCAGGTTCCCTAAAGCGAACACGTGTTCTGCCACCCTGTGCCTACCTGTGATACATGAAAGTTACGAAGCATCTGAAGCTGACATCTAATTTGGAATTCAGAATAGGGGGGGTTTCGGCTCTGCTTAAAGAGATAGCTCTCAGTTCGAGAGCTGTGCAAGGTATGAGGTAAGCTCATTAACTTCCATAGCTTAAAAACTCTCGTCAGTATGTGTCCAAAATAATTACTGGACTCTTCAGTGGTCAATCCGTCGTTCTGTTTGCACCAGTTACAGCCTGTTGTCTTTTCTTTGGAAAGATGTGTGTCGGGCTTTATTCACTGAAATGCTTTGCCACGAAAGGTATTTAAATACATCAAGTTACCTAGAGTAAGCCACCCCACGAGAAACCACACCACTCTGCCAAGGATAGTTTAAACCAGCCAGCAAAGAGGTTACCCACCCTGCAAAGAATGACTGTCCATTATGTCCTCAATCTGGCGCCATACCATCCGCTCGCTTGTCGCTCTCATTCTGTCTCTTACTCCAAGGTTCCCACATGTTGTGCCATCGCTAAAGTTCTGGGAGCGAATGGAACAGGGCAACCAAACACAAAGAACCAAAACAAGAACCACAAGAACCAGAAGAACCAGGGAACCACAAGAACCAGAACCAGAGAACCACAAGAACCAGAGAACCACGAGAACCACGAGAACCAGAGGAACCAGAGAACTAGAGAATCAGAAGAACTACAGAAAAAAAGACGGAACCAGGAGAAGATTTTATGTGACGTCAGCTGTGGCTATTACACTGCAGATCAGCCGAATTAGTGCTATCGTTTAATGGCACAAAACATTTTATGTGTAACAAATGTCTTTAAAAAGTTGATGTTTTTTACTTATATCTGGAGCCTTTGTAGTTGTCAATGTAATGTCTTAGGCTGACTTTTGTTGTTCGATAATAACATAGCAGATGATAGAGGAATTTTAACACGAACTTTATTTAAATCGAGCAGTCTTCCTGTTATGGAATTGACATTTATGTGAAAGCAGTAGAAATCGTTAATGAACTCTCAAGACCTGTCTCAGCTTAGTTGATATTGACAGACCTTTTCATCAAACATGTTTAAAAATACAACTTCGTAGAAAGACCCACACAAACATGGTAAAAAAGAAAAGAGAAATCAACCTTTAATGTAGGTGATCAGTTTATTAAGTTCTCATACGTGGGTGGGTTTGCAAAGGCTCCTTGGCAGCCTGTAAGGATTTAAAAAATTACTGAAATGTAAAACGCCACCAGTAGCTGTTGTTTGGAGAAAAAAATGAGGCATCAAAATAGTGACTCGCCAATGTCCAATTAAGATTTAAATAAAAAAAACATGAAGAAACTGTATGCCATCAAGTAGAGGTTAATGTTCGCAAATTCACATCAGCCACACAGGTGTTCCTTAACATGAAACAGTAGGCATGTTGTACCAGGCCAGTTCTTTTGTAAAAGGTGCTCTTTTGTTCAAATAAATTTGAATAGATAGTCACCTGTACGTGAAAACTTTCTGAAGCTGGGATTTAGGCTAAAAACTTTAAAACTCAAGAAGTTAAGAGTGGCTGTCTGTAAGGATCGAGAATCGGCGGTCAGCGACCCATTTGGCGAATCCCTGATATTTTGTCCAAAGTTAGCCTTGGGTAGACTATTTTCAAAAATCATCTTCAAAAGTTCCAACGATTTTGTTTATTTGTGAAAATTGAGAAAAATTAAAAGTGCAGTCAAAATGCGGTCAGAGTGCGGTTTTTTGGTTGATCAAAAGGTGCAATGATGAACCTCCGCCGAAGTCTTAAAATGAATTCAGTTGACCTCAAAATAACAAGAATTTCAAAGCAATCAATCTTCTACACTACCAATGTTTTAATCTTTTCAAATATGATAGTACAATGGTTTTTCAGGCCATTTAGAAAACACCTTCGGAGACCGCTTCCGATAGCGGCAAAATGTAGCTAATATTCATTAGGATAAAAATGTTCCTGGTATGTCAGTTTTTAACAATTAAGCATTGCAGAGCTAAAATATAGGTCTTAAAGATTTACCAAGTAAAGTTTCAAGGTCGAACTCGAAACGCTTCCCTTCGAAGGAATCGAAGTCTGAGCAATATCAACGTGCAAAATGGCGCTGGATTTATAACAAACATCTAACATTATAGTTACAATCACTTGCGTTAAAATATATCAAACTAAATTTACCTCAGACAATTTTAAGTTTAAGCATTGCAGAGCTAAAATATAGGTCTTAAAGATTTACCAAGTAAAGTTTCAAGGTCTATCTCAGTACGCTTTCTAAGAGACAAGTCAGTTAACTTTGTAATATTATCAGCGCTTGTCAACAAACATTAAAAAACATTTTTCTCGTCCCGTCACTCGATCAGAAGGGCACTTTCCATATCTTCTTTCGTTTGAAATTCACAAGTCGTTTTAGATTAGGTTAAACGCAATAAACACATTTGGCCTCTCAGACCTAAACAGTTTCAAAATAAAGATCGGTTGAAAAGAATTACTAAGCCCGCA